TGCTGATTCTGTCAGGGATGCGGGTGTGACCAGAAGTGTGTGGACTGACACAGGGAAACGTAGGCTTCAGATATAGTAAATAATATAATTTATTGAGACTAACAATACAAATATAAACGCAGTGCACCAAACCCCAAGCTAACACAAATACATACAACAAGGTGAAACAAACCCAAACCTAAAATGATATAGATACACAGGTACATACACATATAGAGCACAACGTAGTCAGGCAGGCTGGGTCGATAACTATCGGGCAGGTAGGTACAGGAGGAGCAGGCAGAGAGAATGGTCAGGGTCACAAGCCAGGGATCAAACAGGAGAAGTCAGCAGAGAAGTCAGGATCAGGCAGGGTCAGCAACAAGTCAGGCAGAAACAGGAACAGGAATAGGAATGCAGGTTACAAGATACAGGGGCCCATGGAAAAACATACACCAAGGCACAGACTGCAGGTCTGGCCATCCCTTAATACACCACCTGCAATCAGCCCCAGGTGATGGCTAATTGCCGAAGTGAACCTCTGATTGTTGAGAGCACCCGCTGGCCAGCCCTGGTACTGCAGCCCACAAGGCAGGTGAGTCCCACCACTATTGGCAAGTCCATTCCTGACAGATTCAGTGCAGTTTGAAAAAGAGTCATGTATGATTTCTGAGCAGTGCCTTCAGTTTCAGGTGCAGAGTGCAGGCTGTTGACTTCCATGGGAACAATTTCTAAATCGCATATGTGCAAACAGGACAAAATCCTGACCTAATCCTGTCCTGAACCTGATGTAAACCTGACCTGAACCGCAGAACAACTACTGTGTCAATTAGCTGTGAACCTGAGCTTCAATCTGCACCATACATGTGTGAATCAGCTCTTAACCACTTGCCCACTGGGCACTTTCTCCTTCTTCCGGCCCTGGCCAATCTTCAGCTTTCAGCACTGTGGCACTTTGACAATTGCGAGATCATGCAATGTCAGCAAACACTCTCCCAGAACTGGACGACCGCGCTGTAGCCTTCATTTGGGTCTATCACGAATGGCAAGAGGTAAAGAAAGGGGAAGAAATGTATTTTTACTGTAGGCACTGACCTATGAGCCCCATGCTGTTTAAGCGTTTCGTGACAACAGATCAAAATAATATTGATTTGATCTTGAATGAAAATCACAATGAAGCTTTCTAAATTGTTTACATAAGATAGTTTACATAAGATAGTAAAAATAATCAACTCAAAGAAACGCAAACTATATAATAAAGACTCCATAGAGAAAATACTGTATTAATGTACCCAATAACAAACCATACACATCAGGTTCACATTACAGTTTGTCTCTTAATGCTCATCTTCTTTCAGTTTTCAGTTTGTAAACAATTTTGGTACAACCTACGTATGTGTAAGGTACAGTACTGATGGTCATCTCCATTTGGCGGCCGACTTGCACTACCTAATTCAATGTTATCCCACTAGAGCAAGTGCATATATGTGAACCTAGCCTAATGGCACCCCAAATGCATCTAACAAACGCGTTACGTTTGTGTCGTATGGTACCACAGACTTAGTGCGATGTGATTTTTAAAATCCATGTTATCCTATATCTCCCTGCACACATTTAGAAGCTTCTAGTAGCAGTAGCGTTTATCAGCAGGAAAAAAAAACAAGGTCCAGTGCATCCAGGAGTAGCAGTGTTTTAGCAGAAAAAAAAACACTTCACGCATGTAAACGAGTCTAAATGCGTCCAAGTGCTTGTTAGCGCAAGGCGCATTTAAGCATTAATTAATTTCAGTCGCCAGAATAAATTATTATTTTGGCCAATAAAATGAATTAACGCCCAAGCGCTTGACGCCTGTAAATGCACCTAAATGTTTGTAAAAGCATTAGACATTTTGACAAGCGTCAAGCATTTTTTTTCTGACAAAACGCTGCTGCCAAAAGGAGGAGTAATTTTTAAATGTCCTGTGTGCATGAGGTCTAAACTGTGGTAAGTACCAACACACAATGCATGTTCCCTTGAAGGAGCTAACAGCCTGCTTTTCTGTGGCAGCTGATGGATGCCTGTGTACATACACTGTAACCTCTAATCCACTGTTTCTCAACAAGGGTTCCACAAGAGGATATTAACCCCTTCACACCTATGGGTAAAACAAATCTTAATGCCTAAGTACAATTTTACAACTTTGACATGTGTTAATAAAATAGTACATATCATCACCACTACTTTGTACATCCAGGTAAATTGTACCTTGTATTTTTCAGGACAAATCGGCTTTCATTTGGTGGTAAATGGTAATGGATATCTCCTGATTTTTTTTAATGATTATTAGCAAAGGAAACCTGGCCCAAAATAGTAAAAAAAAACAACCTTTTTTTAAATTTTCTACAAACAAAACTAGTGACAAGAACTCACCATCCCCTATAATGAATGTCTCAATATCATGCAGGCATCATCCTGGTATAACCACTCAAAGTCCAGTGATATACCAGTACATCGCTGGTCCTTGTTGGGTGTATATGCTAGGTTCCTTTTTTTTTATGCAGTCTGTGAGCTGAATGAAAAAAGGGAAGAAAACTCTGACAGAAAAAGTGTGTGGATTTGAGGATTGGGCCACAGCTCTACTGACCTGTGTGCAAATTTTTGGTGGCTTCAGGATGATACTTGTGCTCGCCACCGCACCAGCTTGTACTTCACTTATGGGACTTGCCACATCACCAAGTGATACTGAAATGCTGGTATAAAAAAGACCAGGATATACTAGGCCACTGGTGCTCGCCAGTTCACCATAAGCTAGTGTAGCACTACTACTGGCACTCTGCTGCATATGAGACAAGTCATGCGATCCTAGCACTTCAGCTTCATGGGGTCGGGTACGCCTGATCTTAACAGGGACCTCTTCTCCATCGTCCGAGCTACCTGTCAGGGCGCCACTGCTGTCTACAGGTTCCTATTCTGAGGCTGATTGTGTCAGGGAGTCTTCCCCTTCGCTCTCACCAAACATGCTCAGAATCCTGTAGGCCTCTTCACTTCCACCTTTGGTTGGACATTTTGGACTCTAAATTTACAGGCACCTAGTGCGACTCACAGGAAAAAGAGCACCTGGCTATCAGGGACTACTTGAGCCACTACAAAAAAATTTACCGGCAAGTACTAACAGGGATCAGGCCTGATTCTGTGAACACTATGGTTTTGTGTGCAATGTATTACAGGTGACAGTGATCAGAAATTATACTGACACTGAACTTCTTGTTAGGGGTAGAGGGGAGCGCTGGGGCTAAATGCTAGTGCTGGCAGCGAACGGGGATGATCCAAACACTGCGTTTTTGGGGACACTAATTCTAAGGGATCACTGGTATAGTTTTGTTTCTGATCAATATACAGTATTGATCCATACAAACACTATACTAGTAATAGCTGTGATCAGCGACCTATAGCATGAGTGAACACTAGCTGACCCTAGCTAGGAGGGATGCTAACTGACACTGACGCTATCTGACACTATCTGACGTCGTTAGTGGCACTAATACAGTGATCAGTTTAAAATACTGTACACTGACACTGTACTAACAGCACTGGCAGGGTGGCAGGGGGCAATCAAAGGGTTAAATGTGGCAATCAAGATGTTACAATGTCTCTATCTAACGTGTGTGGGTGCAGTGTGCTGCTTTTACTCACAAGTGATGTCTCTCTGGAACAAAGTGGTTCCAGGGAGAGAAGAACCAGCTAAATCCTGTGCTTGTATTTACAAATGCAGGCACAGCTCAGTATCTCCATTTGCTGTAGGAAATTGGCCAAAATCACAGGCTGAGACCTGCTGACATACACCTCCTACAACGAATGACAGCGGGGCCAGTGGGGGGGGCTGCGCACATGCGCGCTTTATACCCGGAAGAGCAAACTGACATATGGGTATTTCACTTTGCCTGCAGTTACCGCCCGTCCGCAGTACATTGCAGGTGGGCGGGAAGCGGTTAAGGAAAACCCCACACCAAAATTTTTAAAAAATTGCTATTAGGTCTGGTATGGATTTTGGGGGAACCCCACACCAAAATAAAAAGAAAAAAAAATGGTGTATGGGTCTCCTCAGAATCCTAAAGGATTTTGGGTCTGGTATGAATGCTGGGGGGACCACACAGCCTTTTTTTTTAAAAGATGTTGGTGTGGGGTTCCTTAATATCCTTACCAAACCCCTAAGGGTTGCGGGGGACCCCCTCGCTGCATCTGAAAAAATACTGCATGTGAAACTCTGATGATAAATATAGCATCTTTTTTTTTACTTCATGTTGTGTTTGAGAATTGGACTTAACAGCTTACCACATTTTTTTTGCGGTATTTATCCACATATTTTTAATTTTGCACTTAATACCGCAGAATAATTTAAAAAAAAAAATTTTTTGTGAATAGAACATTTTGCTATGGATGCGATAATTTATACGCAGGGTGGACTGACAACTAATGGGGCCCCCGGGCAATAGGGGATCATGGGGCCTCTGTGTCCTTGCCCAAACTCAAAAAAGCCTATAAAAAAGGTACCAGGGGCATCTCATGGGGCCCCCTACTGACCCCGGGCCCCATGCCCGAGTTTCCAAATGGTCAGCCCGCCCTTGTTTATACGTCACGTGACATTGTTATTGCATTCAGTAAACTTTTAGTGAATTGACCCTGTAGTCATTTCTAGCAGGGGGTTCCCTGAGACCAGAAAGTTATTTGAAACGTTCCTCTGTGTTGAAACAATCGAGAATAGCTGCTCTGATCTATGAGCCGTTCCTAGTGTTTCATTATAACAGACACCTTCAGCTTTGCTACTTTTGTTCCAATGCAAAGTAATGGTCACATGACCTGTTCCCGCAGGAGCTCAGTCAGAACGAGGCTCGGAACGCACCAACATGGAACGCTCCCAGAAATTCCCAGCTCAGAGAGCGCCGTGGCCACGCCCATGCATTTTCCATCGCTCAGGTCCCGGCCCTGGGAGGCACGCATGCGCAAGTTCTCTTCTGCTGTTGCTTCTGCTCCCAGCAGTGCGGTTGCTGTGGTACCGGGCGGAGTGCGGGAGGCGGAGACCCTCTGGACAGGCACCGGGAGAGCCGCTCTGTGACTCTGGGGACTCCACAGCCTGTGCGGGCATGAGGGACCGCCTGAACGACCTGTCAGCGGTAAGTGCTCGCTGCTGCTGGGAGATACAAGGTGAATAACGGTCCTGCAATGGGCGGAAGGAGGGCAGGCTGTGTATACAGTGTTTATCAGTCATTGGGAGGGGAGGGTTGTATGCTAGCTCTTGTGTCTCCTCCATCCTGGGTTTACCATGATATTAGGTGGTGGGGCTGGTTGTAGTACTACATGTCTCAGCATGTCTTGGGGCCGGTTTACACCAGAATCGCACAGGAATACAGTCTGCGTTCCTGTGCAGTGTAATCTGGTAGCCCATTCGTTTGAATATGCTGCGATTTGCAGCCGAACGCACAAAAAAAAAAAGTACTGCATGTGCTATTAATGAAAAAAAAACTTGCTGCAGCAGGTTGCATGGCATTACCATACCATCTGGGGTCTGCAAACGCATCGCATTTGTGATCTGCGCTTGGGGTGCCATTAGTAATGTATTGGTAGCTGCAACAGCTGCTTCCCTTTAAAGCGGAAGCCCCACTTATTTGCCTCCCCCCCCCCCCCCCCCCCACTACCATAATTGGCACCTTTTGGGGGGGGGGGTACCTGGGTTTTGACAGGTGCTTGCTCCCACTTCCGAGTTCGGCCCCCTCCTTACTCCTGCAGTCTCCTGGGAACTTTCACAGGTCTCAGAAGACTGCCGGATCAATCAAGATGCGCAGCGCGACTTGCACATTCGCAGTGAGCACCAGGCTGTGAAGCTGTGAGCTGTCACAGCCAGGTGCCCACAGTTGAGATGCTGGTGCTGTGGAAGGGAGAAGGGATGGCATGGGTGAGAACATCGTTGGACTCCGGGACAGGTAAGTGGGTGTTTATTAAAAGTCAGCAGTTACAGTTTTTTTAGCTGCTGACTTTTAATAACCACAAAAACGTCTGGAACTGCGATTTACAATGAAACTAAACATACACTGGTTATGTGCATTATCCCTTCTAAACACACATGTACATAACACATGTACATAACACACATATGTACATAACACACACTGGTTACGTACATTATTTCTTCTCTGTCTGTATGTGGATGATGGCACTGTAATTATAAAACCTCTGAGTACCTGTTTCCTAATCAATACACAGCTGTCATATGACCCAGATCTTTCCCAGCCTGTCTGCATGGAAACATAAGCAGGAGGAGCCTCTGTTGCTGGTCACATGTTTAAAATAAAAAACCTTTGGAATAGAGTAAAAAAAAAAAAAAATGCATCATAATAAACTGTTTTACATTGTCATATACAAATATATATTTGAAATCAAATCTCTATTATTTTTGGCAGTATCACGATGTGGGCGGATTTCTGCTAGTCATAGGCTGTTTCACGCCCCTCCAGCCGATGTCTTAAGCCTCGTGCACATGTTGAGAATATCTGACGAATGATTGCCCGTTTTTTTTTTGGTTCATGCTAGTCTCATGTTGAAAATGAAGAGGTTACTAAAATTATGAAAATTCTCATAAAAAAGAATACAACTTCAAAAGTGATGTAATATTATGTAATGTATTCTTTAGTTTCTGAGCATGCGCGGTCTTGGACACTTGATGATTTTTTTTTTTTTTTTATGAATGACTGCTGGACTGATTAAACAAAAATCATTTGTTCTGTTATCGTAATTTTCGTGCATGTCTCTTCAGATATTTTCACATGAACTGTCGTGATCGGCTCTTGAAAGCTGGGTATTAATTATCAGATTATCGCTCCAAAAGCATTATTTTTCTTCCGATTTTTTTTTTTTTTTATTTCCATCACGTGTACGAGGCTTTAAGGAAGTGAAGCCTCCATCAGTCAAGATGTAACATCCCCCCCCCCCCACTGTGTTTTAGCTGGTTAGTAAGCATGGGGGAGGAGGGAATGGGCTGTCATTTACCACATGCAATATGTGCCCACATGTATGACTCTATAGTCACATGGGCTGCTCACATGTGATTGGTTTGAATGCTTAGCATAGAAACGCACGGAACACTGAGCATGTGCAGTAGCTGCCAATGCTGCCCTTCAAAATCTCCAGCTGCAGAGGAGATATGGATAGTAGGGGGAGATAGAGAACAGCAGGATCAACCAGGTTTTTTTTTTTTTTGCAGAATACAGAAAATGAATCCCATAGTGAGTATGAACAACATTAATACAGCATTTATTCGTTGTTTTTAACCACTTGCCAACCGCTCTATAGCTGAATAATGGGTACAGTGCGGTTGTCCAGTTCTGGGAGGGCGTTATATGACGTCCAATGACACAGCAGATCACCAAGTAAATGCAGTTGCCGTCTGCACTTTTTCTTACGCTGTGACAGCATAAGGAAGTACTGCCGATAACCTGCAACTGTCACAGAGCAGATTGGCGCCACCCATCAGTGCTGCCTATCAGTGCCCATTATTGTTTCATATCAGTGCAGCATCATCAGTGCCGCCTCCATCAATGCCCACCAGTGCAGCCTGTCAGTTTCCATCAATGCTGCCTATCAATGCCCATCAGTGCTGCATATCAGTGCAGCCTCATCAACGCACATCAGTGATGGAGAAAAATTACCTCTTTGCAAAATTTTATAATAGAAACAAAGAAAAAACTTAATTTTTTTCCAAATTGCACTTTTTTGTTTATAGTGCAAAAAAGAAAACACACAGTGGCGATTAAATACCAACAGAAGAAAACTCTATTTGTGTGAAAAAAATGATAAAAATTTAATATGGGTACAATGTTGCATGACCGCGCAATTGCCATTCAAAGTGTGACAGTGCTGAAAGCTGAAAATTGGCCTGGGCATGAAGGGGGGTAAAAGTGCCGTAGGCAAGTAGTAGTTAATGATGTGGGTTTAGTGACACTTTAAAATTTTACTAAACCCTTGACTTTAAAATCAGTCTGTATGTGCAGTAAAACATGCTTGTTATACTCACTGTGGAACCATGCACCATGCAATTTCTCGCAATGAAAATGCAGCATGTTTTCCCTGTGGCTGCCATTTGTAAAAGGTCTTTTTCCTGCGTTTCCCACAAGTACAGCAGCCCATTTGAATGAATGTGCTGCTGTGCCTTCACAAACACTGCACATATGTGAACTTAGCCTTGGGGTCACCATACACTTTACAACCTGACTGTACAATCTTTGTACGATCAACTTTGGGTTTACCAAAGCTATGTACTATGAGAACCTACCTTATCGATCTAATCAGACAGGCCCTCTACGTAGTTGGTAGATCCAAAGGGGATTGTACAATCAGATTGTAACATGTAGTGAGCTGTAGAGGTGCCCCAGCATCCATGTGTTTGTGTCCTCTTTGTTTAGTGTGATGTGAGGAGTACAGGCATCCTGTGGAAAATGAAGCAGCTACATTTAAGGCTAGATTCACACCTGTATTTTAGCATGTTTTTAGAAGTGCAGGTATGTACAGCAGTCAGTTTAACATGGTTTCCTTTGGGTCTCATTCACATCTATGCAGTTTCCTGAAGTGGTTGTTTGAAAGAAGTGCAGGGACTTTTATCATGGAAGAAGGTGTGTTTTTGGGTACATAGACCTCAATGGAAGCGAATCAAATGCATGTACATTTTGTTTTGTGTTTTTTTTTAATTGGGTTTTGTGTTTACCAACCAGTCTCCTCCTGAGAGCAAGGAGCAGTGAGAAGTGGCTGTGTAATACATGGACCAAACACTTCTTACCTTCTGGAGAATCAACTAACAAATCCTCAACACAGCTGAGTATTGTCTTGTAGTGTCCATGGTGCTTCTTGTGTTCACACCATCTGCACTGAGTTGCGTTAATCTGCACAGAACAATATCAGAACGCATAGAAAACAATTGTTTCCTCTGTGCTCCATTTACACAGACATGTATGTTGACAATACCCATGTTGCTATTTTTTTTACACAGTGCAGCTCCCCTCGTTGCATTTCACAGCAGCGCATAGACAAGAATAAAGTGTTGTTTTGGTGACACTTCAATAAAGTAAACCGTGCGATGCTTTGTAACAGCACACTTTACAGCCCCTACACAATGGACATCAGCCTTAGCGGTTTAATGTGTGAGCTGTTGTGTTCTGAGTTTAGTTTTTACAACATGCTTTTTTTTTTTTTTGCCTACCCCTTTCTTCTCAGTCCAAGCTGTACCGATACACAAAGATTTACCAGAATATTATTATACAGTATTTTTTTATATTGCCGCCAAAAATTTGCTTAGAGCTGTACATTATAGTGGGGGACAGTACATGAGACAATACAGTAACCATACAATACACGAGGGGTTCGAGGGCCTGCTCCTTGGAGCTTACAATCTAGGATTGTATTATCCACTTGCCCTCCAGAGGATTTACCCCCCCCCCCCCCCCGCCTTACTGACCTGGTCATTTTTTTTTGCGATACGGCGTTATGTTAGTTTAATTGATAATTGCGCGGTCATGCAACGCTTTTTTTTTTTTCCCACAAATAGAGTTTTCTTTCAGTGGTATTTGATCACCTCTGCAGTTTTTTTTTTTTGCGCTATAAACAAAAAAGCCCGCCAATTTTGAAAAAAAAAAACCTATATTTTTGACATTTTGCTATAAAACACATCCAGTACAAAAATGTAAAAAATCTAATTTCATCATAAATTTAGGCCAAAATGTATTCTGCTACATGTCGTGTAAATTAATTGGTTTACATGAAAGTTATAGCGTCTACAAATGGCGATATATGTACTGGAATTTTAATGGTTCTATACTAGTAATGGCGGCGATCAGCGACTTATAGTGGGACTGTGGCGGGCAATCTGACACTGGGTGGGAACTGACTAACTGCCACTGACATCCCAATGACACTAATATAGTGATTAGTGCTAATAAAAAGCACTGACACTGTACTAATGACACTGGGCAAGAAGGGGTTAACTTTTGGGCTATCAAAGGGTTAACTGTGTGTTTTACTGTGTGTGCTGTTTTACTGCAGAGACATGCTGGTTTGTATTCCTCTGCTGTGAGAAATATAAAGCAGCATGTCCTTGCTGGCAGTTGAGACCTGTGTTGTTTACACACAG